TCCAGCCGCAGGCACCCCATAAGGAACGGTTGGTGTTGGAGGGGCACCTATAGCTGCAGGGACCCCGTAAGGGCTGGATGGTGCTGGAGGGGGTGCACATAACAACTCCAGACACCCTGTAGATGCTTGGCCAGCCAAGGGTCATGCAGTACGGGCGTACCCCCAGCCCCCCAGCCCATTCCCTCGCCTTTCCGCTGGCTGACACGGGGGCCCCGCACAGCCCCACGGCCTCTCCTCCGGACACGGCTCTGCCGGGGAAGAACGAGCTGCTCCGTGACTCATCGCCAAAGCACGGCCTTCGCCTCCCAACCCCGGAAAAACCAGCACGCTGCCGGTACCCGTGCCAAGCCGGCCTGGCTCCCGCCGGCCCCAACCTCGCCGAGGCGGCCCAGGGACCTGGGGCCCTGACCCCGCTGCCAGCAGCAGGTGGATGGTGGCCCTGGCGCCACCTTTGCCACCTCCTCATTGCCAAAAAAACCCTGGGGACCCCAAAACTCAAATCCCCTCGGCTCAGCTCCTCCTGCCAGGGCAGGACCAGGGCAGCCGAGGCACCGGTGCCAGCACAAGGCAGGATGAACCCTGGCATAAACCAGGCTCAAGAGAAAAACCCAGCACCGTTGGAGCACACACTCCAGCTAAAAATCTTATTTTTGGCGTATTTGCCCCCAGATTTTGGGGGCAGGTCCAGCTTTGGTGGCTGCAAAGCTCAGGCACTCCAATTTTCTTCCTGCAGGAAAATCACCCGGTGGAGCATCCTGGGGCAGCTCGGCGGAGTCTTTGGCTCTGGCACCTGGCAGATAAGAGGAATTTCCTGCAGGGCTTTAACCCAGGACTGCTCTCCAAGGTGAGGGCAGCGTCCGCGCCAGCTTGGGATCAGCCCGGGCCACCCCAAGAGCTGGAGGAAAATTGGCTGGCACAGGCAAGCCCGCACCAACGTGGCACTGGGCATGGTGCAGCCACTCACCGATGCTGGGAGGAAGGAATAACACTGGGAGGTGAAATAGAAAATCCCAATGCAAAGAAATCCCGTGGGAAACTGCTCCCATCTCCCTGCCATACAGGTTTCCAACCAGCCCCAAAAGGCCCCAAACGCAGCACCGTGGGGTGAGGACGTAGCCGCCCTTCCCCACTCGCAGGCCCAGGGCTGGACCGATGGGGCTGTAGCTCTTGATGAACATCATCAGAGTGGCTTTTTCCTCTTTCTGAACCCATTTAAAGCTTCAGCATCCAAAACACCTCATGCCAGCAAGCAGATGGATTTTATCTTTATGCTGGGCAAAGCCTTACTTGGGTATTAAATTGCTCAAAGCATCCCTGGGTGCTGGCCTTCAAATGCAGCTGGGGAAAAGGTTCCTCCAAAATCAGCGAGGATAGACAAAAATGCTGATGGAGGCGGAGGGAGGTGGTTTCTTTTTTAAATGAAAGCCTGAATTTGATACCGAAATAGAAGGAAATCTTCCCCAATCCCCAGGAAGGAGGATGGAAGGAGGATGCTGTGCTTCACAGCAGAGAAAAAAACCCCTAACTTGATGTGGGAGGGGATGAAGGCAGGGAATTTGGGGCACAAAGAGTCAGGGCACCCAGAGCTCATTGGGGCTGAATCCCCGGGGCAAAGTGGAGGAAAGAGGCACAGCCGCTGCCTAGGGCTTAATTAGTTGAATGTTGTTTATTGTCAGTGAATCTATGGTAGCATAAATGAAGGATGCGGTGTACAGCCCGATTGCAACGCGCCATCTAGTGCTGGCTACAGCGGTGCTCACAGGGAGTAAAAAAATCACCAACCTAATATTTAATTAAAAAAAAAAAAAAGTCTTTTGTGAATAAACAATTGCAGAATTAATTCAGGTCACTTCTTGTAGGATTAGTGATAACCAAAGCATCCCATCAGCCTTCCCCAGGGAGCGGCGAGGTAACATACATGAAGGTAAATGCTCATTCGACAAAATAAAATGCTCATTAATAGGTTTTGCCCACCCTTAAAGAAAATCTTTACTGCACCCAGGGCCTGCTGGCAGCAATGTTTCTTCCAACGACACTATTAAGTGCACTTATTTTAAGACCTCAGGATCACGTTGCAGCCAATGGGAGAAAAACCCTCCCGGGGGCAGGTTTGGTGCTTTTTCTTCCATGAAAGATACTTTGGAGTATGAGTTGCTCTCACTTCCCACTTTAAAAAAATAGGAAAAATATCCACTGCATGGGCTGTGGCTTTAGTGTGTTTATGAATAGGACCTGGCGGATGGTAGATATCATCTTCCAATAAATATAATTTGCATTTAACAGTCCCTTAAAAAAGAAAAAAAAATTAGTTTCACCATAAAGGAAACAAAAATGACCTGAAAAAATCCTTCGTGGTTCTGAAGAAATGCAGCTGGTTCAGTGTGACCCAGCTGAGGTTGGGGCTCATGGGGCGCTTGGGGAATAGCCAAAACTCCGCCCTTCATAGCAAAAATACTCTGCAAAGATTTTTCATCCTTGCCTTAAGTTCAATTGGTTGGTTCCACCCCCCCCACCCCCCTTTGGATTTTAAAAAAAGCTACAGATTCTACTAACTGCAATAAAACCTGACAACGCAGGGCACTAAAGATCCTGCAAAATCCTACCACGCTGGGATCCCTGCAGGTGCCAAGGCTGCAGGGCTGGCTGTCCAACCCCCCTCCCCCCCGCCCCAGACCTGGAGAACAACTTTTTGGGGAACAACTTTGCCATTTTCCTCCTTAACCGCAGTGCTGGGGTGGCACGCGAGCCCCCTTCTCATTTCCCTTCCAGGTGCCCATGGGATGGGGAGAGGTTGGCATCCCCACCCTGGTGCAGCCGTCCGGGCTTACCCAGTCCTCGGAGAGGGACCACACTACACTCAAGCTTTGTTAATAAGAACACAAAGCAAAACTTGCTTTCCCACCCAAAAAAAAAAACCCTCAGGAGGAGGAAGAGTGACAGCATCTCTGGGAATTTGGGATTTGAGATGATTTTCTTCTAGGAGGATGCACAGACGGGGTACCTGCTGCTGGCATTCCCCATTTTTTTTTCCCCTAAGACAGTATTATGCACAACTCCATCACGTTTACAAAATTAAAGCAAAGCTCCCCATAACCTCTGCTGTGTGAGCAGCCAAGATTTCCTGGTGGTGCTTCATTGCCAGGAAGGAACCCCCCTCCAGAGAGTGGGTCCGAGAATCAGCGCCAGGCGCTTCCCACTGCAATGCAACCTCCAGCATCCATTAGCTTGGTACCGTGGCAGGATGGAGTTAACCAAAACAGAGACAAATCCCCCCCCCCCCCCAAAAAAAAACCAGGAATGGCTGGTGAAGCATCGCCTTTTGCCTTCCCTCCTCCTGCGCCCATGTTCTTTGGTTGGGGGGGGCGCTCCTATCACTTTCGGCAGTAGTGGAAGGATACTCCCCAAACCAAAATAAAGCTGCCGTTCCGGTTACAGGAAAAATAAATGGCAGAAACTGGTATATAAACCAAGTGACCCCCTTATAGTGAGGGTTTTGTTTGTTTTTCTAAACATTTTGGCTTAATATTTGGGGTGAACCAAGAGACTGCTGCAGGGTAACCAGGGTGAGAGCCTGCAGGGCTTAACCAGTGCTTTATATTCTCGCCCCTGGGTTAAAGTACGTCAGATTTACTGCA